TCAGAAAAAACAGTCTAATTTTGATCAAATATACTGAAAGTAAAAATATTTTTCATTTCTTAAAGCAAACAAAAAATTGCTTATTTGGCGGGAAAAATTACTGTTAATGCCTTCAAAAAAAATTAGACTGTTTTTTTCAAAATCTAACTTTTTTGAAAAGTTCAAAAATTGTAAGAAAACCGAAAAAAAATTAAAAAATTATAAAAAAGCTTCAACTATCATTTCCTAAAATAGAAATTGAGATATGAATCTAACGTGTTCATTGGCGAATACACTTTGCTGTCTTCCGATTCCTTCACATCCATTATGCCAGAAAGGTCGACACTTATTTTCATCGATATCGTAGAAAAATCTTATTTTCCGATTATACATACTTTTATTGCAAAATTTCTGATTTTTTGGGTCAAACTTTTGTTTACAAATTGCTGAAAATTATATTAAAGTATAAATATTTTGAAAATATTTTTAAAAAATTTGCAATCAGCGCTTTTTAGAAATATTTGCTTCATTTTAATCTACTTGTTCTATTGTAATTTGACAGCAATCATTGCAAAAGAAAGTGATTTACAAAAATCAATAACATTTCAATTCACGTTACGTGATTTACAAAAGAAGCAAAATGTATTTTCATCACTCAGGAGTTTTCATGTAAAGCGTTGACTTATTTACGTGATGATGCTAATTTATTGACCATAACTTACTTTTTGAACGCTATTTTACCTTGAAAACTAAAAATGGTCACTTAAATAAACAGAAAGCGCAGATAACAATTAATATGAATATGTACTTAAGTGAAGCAAATTTAAATTTTCTGCGCCATAAATCATGATGACTTTTTTACTCGTATAATGTTAATAAAACTAACGAGTGTGTGCTTATTGCTTTGTTAATACCAAAGTATTTCGAATATTAAAATTTATGCATTCACGTGATAACTTTAATATTTTGCAATAAATTTTGTATTCAAATTAATTCAGTTTTAGTTCATTATTCAACTGTAATATTTTTCATTAATTAATCATTAATTTAAATATGTTAACATGCGGAGTGATCAAAAGATTTGAAAAAAGAATCTCGATACCGCATTATGTAGACGTAGCTCTAGTCAGGTTGACGTAACCCTACTTATTACGCTAGCTCTTTTCTTTTCTCAAAGCAACTTACGTGGTAATGAAGCGAAAGTTTGGTGTTTACGATAAATTTCACGTTTTTTAACACATTTTGATTCACATTCTCTACGAGTAACAAAACGATTATCATTTCCATTACAACCACTAAAAATTTAATTGAAAATTTAAAGTAATTAAATTTAGACTCCACAATACTTTTTTTACTTTGTTAAGAAATTTTTCACTGTATTTTAATATTAATTATGATAATTACATTGTTTATTGCTTATAACTTCGCTTTTAAAGAATCCTAATTATCTTTATAATAACGTTTAAAAAGAATCGAAGACAAATGCTTGCTTGTTGTGCTCAGTTAATTATGCGTAATAATTACGTAAACACGTTATTTTTAAAAGCCAAAGTTTGCTCAAAATAATTTTTTAGAGAATCAAAATTTTGTTGAGATTATGCTTGAAAATTAGAATAATTAAGTGATCCTAAGTATTCAGAACAATTTTTCAATTTGGCTGAATTATATGCAAAATTAAAAAAGAATCAAAATTAATTTGCTTAAAAAGTTCGACAATTTGCGGATTTTGTATTAA